TTCCCCCCCCCCCCCCCCCCCCACACACACACACACACTTTCAAGTCTCTCACCTCCAATTCTCAAGAGTGCCAGATGCCTCTATAGTGGTCACAGCAGGTGCATAGACCTAAAAAATTCAAATGCAAAAATCTGACCACAAGATTCTAATAATAATAAGATCTTGCCACCCACCAGGCACAACTAAAAGCTAAAATATCAGTTTGGGATGGCCTTACCCTTCCACCTTGTCATACAAGACTTTTGGTGTACCTATTCATTATTTTGCAGTTACCTCTTGCAAGTTCTCGTTTGTTTCCACCTCATGCAGCCAGCTGCGTAGTAGCGGTTTCAGTTTGCACATGTTTTTAAAGCTCAGCTGTAGAGACTCAAATCGGCAGATGGTCGTCTGACTAAAAGTTTTGCCTTTGCAAGAGAAGGAAAAAGAGAGGTTTTAGTTTCACACAGACTCACACAATGCTCTCCAGCAGTTTCTTCTAGAGTTCTCCATAGGCAACCTTACCAAAAAGAACTCCTAAGGCATAGCCAACATCTGCTTGTGTATACCCCAGAGTGATCCGTTTGTGTTTGAGATCTTTGGCAAACTGTTCCATCTCCGAAGATGTTGGGACTTCCTGCGTGAGGTCAAAAAACATGCAGTTACTAATAGAAATTAATCTCTGAATAGCTGAAGAAATCAACTGTAAATGTGTTTATTGACAACTAAAACCAATATAGAAGAAGATCACTCATAAGCTGGTCTTAGCAGTAACCACAGGAAGAATTACCTCAAGATTAAGGTAATTTAACACAATGCTAGGGGCTACATAGCAAGATAGAGTGAGATTACAAAATTGCATAGAAAAATATGACCAGGAGCTTTGTTTAGAATGAAATGTAATTAAGTTAACATATTACAGTTTGTTTAGCATAACAAGACCTAGGTAGCTCAAATGAAATCCAAAGCAAGATGGAGTCACCTCAATACAAAAACATTTGCTCAATAAAAGTTGGAGTCACATATGTCTAATGGGTTCAGAAGCTCAAAATGAGATTTATTAGTAAAAAAAGTTAATCAATTTGTAAAAAGCTGTAATCAGCCCATTTCAGATTACCAGCTCGACAACACAAAGTGCTCAGGGTGTCCTCCCAATACATCAAGATAGTATATACAAGTAACTCAGTAAACTATATCGAAGACTAATAAAATTAAAGTTGTAATTATAAAGAAACAAGATCCTATGCTGTATGCAATAGTGTATTTGTCTTATTTTAAGGTACGCCAGTCAAAACAAAATAGAGCTGAGAAATTTCAGCTCACTATTAAGCAAACAATTCTAACATGTGCACATCAATTTAGTCTACAAGATTAGGAGTTCAATAAAACACTAAGTCTGTTGTACACAGTAATATCAGGCGCCCAAAAAGTATAATAGGGTCATGCTAGCCTACAAGACCAGGGATATGTCCAAGGTCAGGTAAATATACCAGAATCATAAGTTCAAAACAAGATGGAGTCACTTCATTTTCTAAGATCATGAGCTCAATGTAAGGTGTACTCATATAAATATATAAACATCAGACTCTAAAAACAAGATGCAGTCAATTAAGACTACAAGTTGAGGATTTCAGCACAACTTTGAGACAACTATTCTAACTTCTATAGGCTGAAAATGTCTTCCTTCACAAGCCTCCTGGACAACTGTAACAAGATGGAGAACTTCCTCCCAACAAAATCAAATTCTAGGGCACCCCAAAAAGAAGACGACAAGACTAAGAGTTTAGTACAGGATGGATTCAATTAAATCTATGAATACCCGGGACTCTGGAAGTGTCACTTAAACATTTAGAAGTCCGACCCTGAATACAAAGTGTTATCACAATACAAGTTACAGGTAGAAGATTTTAAACTGATGGAAGTCATCACTGCAGACCAGAATTAGCAGAGCCGCTGGGCACTTACCTCCTCATTGTCACTGCAGATACCCTCACTGCCCCCGCTGGACATGCTTCTTGGCGTGCTGTTGTTGTGCCCACTAGAGACTGAGCTGGTGGCACTACTACAGCGGCTGTTCTCCAAGCTGGAGAGCCCACTTTCTCCCGTGGGACTCTGGTTCTCAGGGTACTGCTGCACCGGAGTGGGTTTCACGCTGGCTTGGGGCTTGTTGGCTGCGGTGGTGCCCGGGTTTGGCCAGAAGGTGCCTCCACCCCAAGCCTGGCCATAGTAGGGCGCTCCGATGGCACTGTGTGGCTGCGGGTTGACCTTGGCAGATGTGGACTCCTCTTTAATCTCAAGCTCCAGGTCTCTTTCCCTCTTCGGGTTCCTCTTCGTGTCCGGGCTGGTCATCTGCTCTCTCCCCTGCTGGTCTCCGTGGATGTTCATCTGGTTGGCCGGGTCCAGCTGTGCCAGGTGGTTCCAGGGCACCACCTGTACCGAACAGTCTCCCGCACCCTGCATCCCCAGGTCCCCATAGTCCGACTTGACGGTGGAGAAAGGGAAAAAGGTCTGGGGGTGGTGTGGGTGACCGAGGCCAGGGTAGCCCCCCATGTTATACTGGCAGTTGGCATCCTGCATCAGCCCCGAGGTGTGGGCAAAGGCTTGGAAGGTCTGCTGGTTGTACATGATGAGAAGGACCGCTGAACCCAAGCCTAAATTCAGGAGGTAGTGAGCGATGAGTCTACTAATAGAGCTGAGCAGGGCTTGGAGATCCACTAACCATCTTCAAAAGTTGCAGCCCAGGAGCTGCCGGTCAAACTGTTGCCTAGAACCCCATGCAGAAAGTCTTCCTTTGCCCCTTGGGGGGAGCTTCACCTGTGGATCAGTAGATGTTCCATAAAGTTATCAATGCTAGCAGGCAAATAAAGATATCTAAGCCTTCCTTCCAGAAGATCCCCAGGGGTGACCTGTGGTCCTAGGTCTCTGGCTGGGAAGTTGTTTGTACTGTAGTTCAACTGGTTGTAATCTAATTCATTATGGTGGCTGTTCTTACACTAGACTTAGGCAAAAGACCCCTCCTCCACCCCTAGTTTATGGTAATTAGCCTTTCAGGTGATTGGGCTAGTAAAACAAAAAAAGGACTTTCTAAGGAACATGAATAGGGCCAAGTTGAAGTAAAACATGGAGCTAGAAAAAAGAAAATGTCATTATTAGGGATTATGATCTTCTATAGTTGTCTAGGGTCTACAATCTAGAACTAGAAGCAGGTGATAACATTAGCAAGAGGGAAACGTAAAGTGTAATTTGTCTGACTTGTACATGATTTCACATATACATAGGAATACAGTCTCCACAGAGGCATATGAATATTCAGCAGCTCTGTGTTTTACACACTACAGCTCTAAAATTCCAAGTCATCAGTCTAAACATTTCCTAAACATTAGAGGTAATAAAGCCATTGAGTGTGGGTAATGAGACAGACGAGTTCTGACCTGTGGCAAACTGGGCATAGGAAATATTCACATCTACCTGCTAATGTCAATAACATCATCATTATCCACAGTGAGATACTAGACAAATGCAGGTGTGCAACAAGAGGACATTTTACTTATTTGATTTAATGCTGACTCTTTTACCATGGTTTACATTAAACCACTTACAGCAGCCCATACACCCCAATGCCCCTACCACAATAATATAGGCAGTGCTAATTTGGGTAAAAGCCTGTTAACTTAGTAATATGTTTTTAGAATGTAGAAGGAAACTGGAGCTCTTGGAGTTAACCCACAAACACAAAGGGAAGACAAACAATTTCACCAATATTCTAAGTTAGGTTGGATTTTTTTATATACAGTCCTTTATTATTTGCTCAAGATAACAGCTAAGGTTGTTGGGGAGGGGTATGATAGCAGTCAAACTGTAAATGTGGTCATAGGCACTGGATAGTGGCAGATGTGCCTCTACAATTCACATTCTACCAAACATTATTGTGCATAGATATCCACATGTAGTGATCCAGTTCTGGTGGTGACTTGCTGGCATTAAGTAAACCTGTAAAGGGTTCCTTTGAAGTCCTTACCAGTGCACTTTCTTCACCCCTTGTTCCATTTTAGAGCTCTTATTAACAATAAGTGTCCCCCACCCATCTTCAGTGGTAGGGAATAGGCCAGTAAGCATTTTATTAGATATAAATAGGTAAATTATTGATGTGCCTCATAGCCGTATAGGTGCACCATGTCACTATGAAATAGACGGTTCCATTTGGTCAAGTGACCTTAAGTGGGCAGTGGACTGATGCATGGTAAGGAACATGGGCAGGAGGGATGCTATGAACTTTACAGATATGAAGTACCCTTCATATCCCTTTAAATATCACCAGTAAATACCCCTCTACAAGTTCATGAGGAAACTGGTCTCCTGGTGGAGCAAATTGGCTATGGATGTGCTGAAAATTTTGTTTGGGGAAACCAGTTTCCTCATTATTCACATGCATATTTCCCCAACTGTGTGGCTATGTATTTGGTGGACCACCTTCATTAAGAGGAAACAGAAATAATGCCTTGTGTAGTATCTGCTGTTATGCTGGAGCCCTATACTGCAAGGGAGAGCAACCAACATGTGGATCACCTATGTATGGATGTTTTTCCTTATGAAGGTGATGGGGTAGAGATGAAGGATTTCCTGGCAATAGCCTTTTTTTAGGGAAAATAAAAAATGATTGGTTGGGACACATTATCCTAGCCATTCCTCCTTATGATTAGCTGAACAAGGGGTATCATATCTGTAGTGATAAGGTACACATATATTTTCTCTACCTACTTGGAAGCATTTGGCTAAAATGACCAATATTTATATGTCCTTCATTTTGTAGTATGTTCAAGTAGTAGTTGTATATTCCAATTGCCATCTAGTCTCTATCTCTCTTCTGTTGTTTTTAGAGGATGAAAGCCCAGGACTAGACATGGAAAATCTTATTAAGGCCTGATAACAGGGCCCAGTCTTGACAAGAAGCCCTGCCCTGTGCCATTATTTGTTCAGCTTTCTGTCTCAGGTCTCCTGGGTAGTGGGGATGAGATAAGGGCAAGATAATTGTCTTTGTAAGTTTTCTTCTTTTTTTTTGCTGTTTGTGAAGACCAAGATCATGGCTTCACCTGGTTCACACTAACCAAGAGGGGGTAAAATAGATTATTGACAGGTTTTCTTTGTTAATGGAGGTCAACTAAACACGTTGAGTGGCCTTAATCATGTTATCACTCCTAGAGCCTCTTTGCTGTGCTACATAATCCTATCCCCTGTAGTCTCTTGTCAAAATATTTTGTTTATTGGGGTGCTCACCTTGATATTTAAAGGAGATGTCACCGATTCCAGCATTGCTTTAAATAATTGGGCAAAGTGGAGGATGACTATTGAGTTTTAAGTGAGCAAGTCTTTTTCAAGATAATTTACACTTGTGGGAAACATGAAATCATCACTAATCAGTGCAATAATAATTTTGCGAGATGGCTGGCTTAATATATACTAGGCCCATCATAAATGATTCTGAAGCTGTTATATTATTGCCCCATTTTTTGAGAAGAAGATAGCATGGGTGGGGGTAAATTCAAAGGAGTGTGCTGGGTGCACAAGCCATAGGACATCACATAAAATGTGATGTCCTATGCCATAGGACAAGCATATAAGAACTCCAGTCATGGTATAAAAAGATCACTTAATTCAGTTGTGTGTTCCTTTGGAATCATTAAAGTATATCTAAGGCCAACACTCTTTTTTCTTATTTTGGATAATTATTGGAGTCCAGAGTTGGCTGCCAGTTTTTTCCCCCCATATGTGTCTCGCTAAGGAGATTTCCCTTCACTTCCTGTCCTGTGGACTTAACAAGAAGTGAGATGGTATACGGTGCCAGCAGGATCACCCACAGATTGAATTTTGGCCAATTTTGCAGGAAAGGGAAAAAATGTGATCCATGTATTGCCAGCTTAACAGAGAAAGTGACCGTATTGTGGACAGAGATGTTTGAATCACAAAGTGGCTGTTCAGAATTACCAATCCTTTGGCAAACATGTCAGCTCATATGTATAAATGGTGTATTTCGATGGAGTTTAGCATTAAAACAAAATGCTTACTGAGATGCTCCCTAACTCTAATGCCAAGCTCTAAAATGTCTTGAGTGGAACATATCATTTTGTAGCTTCTTGGTGGAGTATCAAATGGTCTTCCAGACACCAGCAGTCAGTTCCAGTAATACATGTTTTGCCTGAAGTAGCTCTTGTTGCGTAGCTCTTCTCACCAGTCTTTGGAGGAGTTGAGTTGATTGCCTTGTGCAGGATACAACAGCGAGGGTCTCGGCTGGTAATAGACACTTCTTCTGCCACCACAGGGGGCCGTGGCCAAGAGACCCAAAGAGTGCACAATAACTGTATCACTTTGATTCATTGTTACCTGACCCTCCCTCCATCCCCCTCCATGTTGACTCATCACCCCAGGATGCTTTGTTACCCAAAACAAGACAGAAAACTGCTTTAAACTAGACTATCTACATTCCAACTGTCTTCTCTATTCAGAGCTCGGCCCCAACCTGTGACTTTGAACCTGCAGATGAGGACTGCTTGGTCCTCGTATTGAGAGATGCTGTGCTAAAGGGTTATGGCATCTTCAACTACATAAATATAAGAAACTAGACAGCGGCCGGCTTTGTGCTGACTGATCGCTATTGTAAACTATCATAGCTATTCATGTTTGTGTCTTGATGGCTGTTTACATTCAAGCGATTGCTTGCAGGAGCTGCGGTTGTGCCCCCCCCCCCCCCCGTACCTCCGTCCTGCCGTTGCCGGTCCCAAGATCCGTTGTGCCCTGTGCAGCTGGTGACCGGGACGGCGACGCTCTCAGTGGAGATCAAAGGGGGATCAGTACACAAACTCCCTTTGATCTCTTCTCCTGTCCCCGAATGCAGGAAGTGATGTACATTACATCACTTCCTGCATTCAGTGTCACTCTCCGGTACAGAACACCAGAGAGAAGCTGGGGAAGCAGACCTCTGCTTCATCAGCTTCTCTGGGGGTCCCTAGGTGACATTAGGGGTCTAAGAGACCCCTGATGTCTCCATAAAGAGGACCTATTTTTTGAATTGGCTATCACATAGGGGGTTTTGTTATCCCCCTATGTGATAGCAATAAAGTTAAGTGTAAAAAAAAAGAGTTTAAAAAAAGGTAAAGCATAAAAAAAATAAAGAAGCTAAAAAAAATAGTCACAAATTTTAAAAAAATTAAATTACAAAACAAATGTTTTAAACTCCGCCCCCCCAAATAAACAAGCAAACACGCGAAAACGACGATTGCGCCCATTACGCCCCACGTTACATATTGCCGCGAACGTCGAAATGAGAGCAATAATTTTAGGGCCATTAATTATTGATAACAGGAAACTGATGAGCGGTAAAGACTTTGAAAGCGTCGCCTATGGCCAATTTTGGGTGTGGTCGTTTTCTGCGATTTTGCGGGCGTGAGCAATTTTAAAGCTTGACATGTTTGGTGTCTATTTACCCGACGTGACCCCATCTTTTATATTTTACCAAAAAATTGGGGTAATAATAAATGTTTCATAACATTTTATAGGGAAACAGGTTTTTTGTACAAAATCTGGGGTACTTTTTTTGTTATATATAAAAAAAAAAAAACCCAGTGATAATT